ACTCGGTCCTATTACCATTATTAATAATGGCAATAGGACTGAGCGGAGGCCGGTCTGTTATCATACGAGTGGTAATACTAAAGTTCGAATATAACGCGTGCTGTCGTCGGTTGAAACAGCGCGCTCTTTCACAGTATAGAACATAGAGCTTTTTTCCGTTAACTGAAAGTAAAATTTCGGAACAACCGGGTCGGCAAATAACAACAGAAGAACCAAACAAAGGTTCGTTAACATACTGAGCGCCGTTAATGACGTTATCATAACTATTATCAGTTAGACTACAAGCTTACTGGTGAAATTCATACTAATCATGACGGTGTCAGAGCGACTGCGACCGTGCATGGAAATCTTCGGTCATCGCAGAGAAGCAAACCTCAGAAAGTCAAATCGGCCGCCTTTCTTTAATTCAAACTTTGCTTTTATTCTTACAAAGTGTTTCATTGGTTTATTTTCTCTGAACCAGTCCCTTCGCGTTTCGGGAGGGTTCCCCTTATATGGATATTCGACACGGGCACGAACGCGCCGAAAGCAAAAGAAGTGTCTCTTGGTCTTCACGTGGCTATCTGTGTATTTTTATCGATTTCAAACGTTTTTCCTCCCAACATGGTAGGTCGTAAGTAGTTAAATCAACTCTCAGGGATGCAGTTCTTCTCTGATTTAGCTGCAGAAAGTAGAAATTTATCGAGTTTCGCAGTGCACGGCTCCAATGAATAGCTTTGGTGAAATGTTTGTGTGATCATGCATTTGTTGACGTGACTCTTTCTTTTAAACAATCTTTTTTTCGTTTTTTTCATTTTAAAAGCAGTGTGTTAACGATCAATGCATTTAGTAGAAAGTCAGTACTCATCAATCAACACCCTTGTTATTATTTGGAGAAAGCCTTGCCAGGACTTAGCAAATAATCCGTTGAATTCGAAATTATGTAGTCGACATGCATATTTAAAATTCTCAAACTCAAGTTCTCTCTAATGCTTGTAAAAACTGGCAAAGACTCTGAGTGACAGAGATCGCGTAGTCTGCACTGGTTATATAATTTGCAGTAGCTGGAGAAAAATTCTGGTCATCATTTTCTCAGAAGAATAGTGAAACTTCACCCATGATGATGGGGAACGCTAGCAACAGCGTCCTCCCACTTCCGGAATTTGTAGTTTATCATGTTTTGTATAATTTCATCTCCACCACTGGTCTAAAGAAAGCGATAGATGTACCATCCCTTGTATGGTGATACAACAAGATGTCTAATAATATCCCTTTCTTTGAAGGAAACTTTGGCTCAAAGAACTATTACTATTTTTCTTAGTGATGATGTACCTGTGAACTCTTCAAGAATACATGAGAGGACACTCTTGTCTCTAACATGGAAGTTTCAATGGAATTAGATGATAAGCTGAATTGCACATGTATTTTTATTAGTTTTTTCTCATGATCCATTGGAGCATAGACACGCAGATGATGTCACAGACTGTAAACAACATTTTGCTTTTTTATCCTATGGAACAAAAAGATTCTATGTTGCTTGGGTCTGGGCAGTAATAGATCAGAGAAGATTTCAAATTGTGATAAAAGTATCAGTGACTCATTCAGCTGTGCCTTGTGTGCTACATTTTGTTCTTACCACATTTTGATGTTATCTGTGATCTACTGCTTAACAGATACATGGCAACATGGAATCTATTTGTTCATTGAAACAACTTATGGAGACCCTTGCTGGTATGAGATTTCACAGAGGTAAACTAAAGGAGTATATTGTTCTCTTTGCAGAGTCACACCATTCTTCTAATCCAACCCAGTGCAAAGCCAGAATCCAGGACATACTCTGATTATGAAACTAAAGATGAGTGCATGGAAGGTAAAATTACATTATAACATAGCTAGTAAATTTGTCTAATCCAATTCAATTGTGCGAGCATGCTTCATATTCCTATTGTGCACGCTCATGATGTCAGCAAACAATTCCCTCTAGAAAAAAAATTTCCATCGGGTTGAAAATATTATAAAACAATTGTTTCATATGTTATCTGTGTGTTCATGGAGATATTAAGCACTTGGGAAGTTTGGAGAGCACTCAAGAAGCTAGAGTTGGTCTCAGCTATGCCTCGAGCAACTCTTATGCATCTTTTGTGCTCTCCAAACTTCCTGTGTGCTTCATATCTCAATGAATGAACGCTGACAGATGAACCAATTGTAAATAATAAATTGGATTTTAGGGGTGAATCTTCATTCCCTGTTTTCTGGGTCAAATGGGAATTCTTTGTGTTGGTTCTGGAGGAGGGAGGAAGACAGGACTGGGAAAGAACAAAGAGGTGAACCAAAACAAACTTAATCCTTAAGTCATGTCAGGTACAAGAATCAAACCCAGGCCTCAGAGGTGGGAAGTGAGTGCTCTCCCAAGTGGTACAGTGTCATACCTTAACTTGTGAAATTCCATTTAACATACTGTACCCTACCAAATATTAAAGCAAATCACCAAGTGGGGTTAAAATTCTTGGGTTGAACAATTCTCCAACCTTAACATTACTGGATGATATATTGCACTATTTAAAAGAAACTCCCTGGAAAACAATTTTGCTACTGGCAGTTTTGAAGTATCAGTTTTGGTGAGGATGCCTTTGCCAGTTTCATCAGTGAATCACTGGACAGAGTTTGTACAGGTCATGTTCAAGATAGAAAGTTAGTTTTTCTAAGCAACGTTGAGTGTTTTTCATAGAAAATGTTTTGTCAACAAGGGCAAAAGTACCTGAGGCAGTTTAAAATTTTCACATTATTTTGATACTAGAGAGTCGTATAATACATCATGAAATCTAAAAAACTTGAGGAATAAGTCTTAGAAAGTTGTTAAGTTTTGTAAGCTTAAAAGAGTGTGAAAATACACATTGAATATATATAGTTTCCCTACAATAGCTTCACTTTTCAGTTAACAGGTAAGGGAATAGACAATTTAATCAGCTTGATTGGCATATCTTTTTGAAACCCCAGATTCTCTCAACTAATTTTCAAGGACATATGTAGCCACCAGATGGGGCAGTTACAATTAGAACTTGTTTAAAAAATGTAGTAGCATCTCTAATGATATTCCATTAACTGTATCTTTCAGGAGTTTGCAAGATATTTGAAGAATACCTTAAGAAGTCCAACCCAAGCACTCCATCAATCACATATGACATCAGCCAACTGTTCGACTATATCGACAATTTGACAGACCTGTCTTGTTTGGTGTACCATTCTGAAAACAGCTCCCTAACAAACTTGCTGCAAACCTACATTGTAGATTTATAGGCTGTAGCTATCAGTAGTTTAGTGGTTTGATATTTTGGGTACTTGCAGGAGGTAGTGAGGCAGAGCAGATAGGCCGCTGAACTTGTAATCTAGTGGTCTTGGGTTCAAGCCCTCCATCCTGCCACTCACTGGATTCATTCTTGGTTGCCCCAAGTTTAACTCCTTGGCTGCATTTTGTAAACAGCTGTTTGCAGAAACGGTGGTGGAATAAAGGCGCTAAACTGCATGTGACAACACCAAAAGACATTGTCAGTAGTTTTCAGGTCACGGTTCTAGGACCTCAGGGTTTCAAGGAAATCAGAGAAAACATCACTGTAAGGAGAGGCCTAGGCATGGGGGTTTTATGAATTCGTTTTGTTTGCAAGACTGACTTTTACTTCTTAATTTGTTGAAAAATGAAAAGAACTAACTAACTGACCCTAATCAATGACGAAAATGATGCAAACTCAACTAGAGTGAATTAGAAGACATCTTAAGAAAAAACTGTTTGCAACATAATGTTCTATTGTTTTGAACTGATGGTATTCATGTCTATGTTGATATTCATCCCCTGTTCAGTAGATCATTTGTCCATATCTGTTTCTCTTATTACCAGATTACTAGCAAGATTGTCCCCTGCTTTTTTTCCTTTTTTCTCACAACTTTTCTGAAAACAGCTGTATAACCAGCTGATCTGCCTCTGGCCAGTTGGAATTTTTAAAAAACTCTATGTTTATTTGCAATTTGTTTGTATTGGTCCTGATAAGCTGTATTTGGGGAATGATCAATTAATGTTATTATTACATTTAGTATTACGTGACTAGAAAAGTAGATGATCAGGTTCATATCCACACCAATTTTAAATTGTTCCATTTTGTTGTGTTGTAAGGGGCCTTACTCTCACAAAACCTTCCTCCATCCAAGTTGCTTGCAATTCTTCAGGAAAGCTTCAGTTGAGGAATTGTCTAGGGATTATCCTGCGATAGAAAGGCTGTACGCTCACAGCACTTGGCTGCTTTAGACAAGTAACACTTGACATACAACAGCCTGCACCACTTTGCTGTCATGAAAGGGCAATGACTAATCAGAAGAAGTTTGGATGATGTTCTAAATTTTTAAGTATATGGGTCCTAAAATATTTTGGAATCTTTACAATATGAAGTTCCTTCTTTTTTTCACAATGGGAAAGTTCTTGCCTGGAATCAACCTGTGTGTTGTTTTTAACAGGGAAGAGTTAGTTTGTAAAATTCTTTTGTTCAATTGTTGGTTAGATTTTGATGACTTTTTGCGGTTTTGTTTGTTTCTCTTCTCTCTCTCAACAGACAACACCCAAAGCAGACATCTTTGTATGAACCACACAACAAGGAATGGATTAAAGAAAACATTTACATCATGTTAAGAAAGCAAGCTGGGAAATGACAAGTCTTAATGAAGATCAGTCGTCACTTTTTTTTCTTAGTCTGTATCATAATGCAACTCTGGTTCGTGTGACAACCCTAGTGCTGAATGTGCTGGTGGAAAGCCGACATGCTGTGACTTCTGTGGATGTCTTGTTCTTGTACATGTTGCTGAAATATTTTCTGTGAAATGCATGTCGACTCCTTTTTTGGAGTAAGGTTTTGCCTTGGACTCATTCTCACTGTCACTAATTACGTCTATGAAGCCTTTTGTCCTTTTTTTTTTTTCTTGTAATCTTTCTCTGGCAATATCATTCACTTCAATAAAGTTGTGAAATAAAAAAAATAAAGTTATTAAAGTTTGTGCTGCAATGTTTTATGCCCATTTGGATCTTTGAAGTATGTTTCCAGGAACTGTTTACAATACTTTTAAAAGGCAAAGACTTGTTAATGCATATTTTTTTTGTATGTTTGTCAAGGGTAAGGGAATTTTGTTGCATTCTAGGGCAATTATTTGACTTTTTGGGTAAAAGAAGAGAACCAGACAAACAAAATAGATATATTAGACAAAACAAAACATCATCTGAGATGTGGGAGGACATAGTAAAAGATATAAACTACTCCTTCACTGCATTGCAAGAAAGTTTTATTCACAACTTGCAATGAAACATTTAACAGTCTGAGCAAAAATGGGAAATTCTCTTTTTAAATAACTGCACAGTTAAAGTATACCTTTTTACAGCGAGGTAACCTTAAAGGGCAGGTGATGAACCTTTTTTCCCCCCTGCCTTTGACAGGACTGATGATCTTCAATGAACAGGTAACAATTATTCACTGAAGTGGAGGTGGCTAGTGGTGAATATTCACCAAGCTGGGAAGCAGCAAGTTAAAGATCCACCTCTGCTACCTACACTGAAAATATAGCACAAAAAGATGATATTAACTCATTTATTCACTTGTATTTTTGGGCCCAAATCCTGCATGAGTAGCTCAGAGGTGAATAGCAGAGGATATTTGGAGTTTGAGTAACCAATCAAAGCATCCCTTAACACCATTTACTGTTTTAGTATATACTTATATTCAAATTATTCAAGGTTGTGATGAATCTAATGATGAAAGAGTCAAAGATACTGTGCTTCTTCACATCTGGAATGTACAAACCTCTAAAACTTGTGGTGTTTTCCCTGGAGTGGGCACAAAACTACTAATTTAGAATGAATGGCCTCTAATTCACCATTAACAAGATCTCACATGTAAATCTTCATTATAACACATCTTAATTACTTTGTTATGAATTCTGTAATGAATTATTTTGAAACTTATACACCAGGAAACCTGTTATTATACAATAAATTATTTTGCCTATAGACTCTTTTCCAACTGGTCAATCTAAACAGTCTGGGACTTCAGAACAAAGGTTACCACATAAGTGACTGACAGTAAGCTATAAGTTCACTTGTCAGCCCAGAGCACGGACAATCACCTAAACTAGTGAGCCATGGTGATTAATGGTAAGCCTACTTTTTTTTTCTAAAATGCTCATAGTCTTGGTTTGTGAGGTCCAGAAGCATACAGCAATCTAGATGCCTCTGGTCTCCGCCGTGATTTTCGTCCTCTCCACACCATCACAACTACAATAATGACAACAGCTGTGAGGGACATAGCCAAAGCCACAGCAGCAACAGGTGGAAAGTCACCAGGAGATGACCTGTCATCACTGTCATCATTATCATTAGCAGCAACAGTATTTGTGACTGTTCTACTGTTAACTTTGGTGAACATGTATGGCTTGTCCTAAAAGTGGCAAAAAACTGCACTCAGTCAACTGTCAATGCTGGAAAGTCATTCAAGATATTCACTTTCACTTCTACTAATCTTGTAGGCCAACAACATTTTCAAATGTATTTGTCTCCCTTAATTATGATATACATGATAAGCTGAATTGCACATGCATTTGATGTATTGGAAGGCAGATGCATAGGTGACATCACTGCCAACAACGTCGTGCTTTTTCATCATGTAAAACAAAGACTATGTTAATGTTGCTGTTGGTCTGCACAATACTAAATCACAGAAAACACCGCAACGTGGTGAGAACATCAGTGACACATGGCTGCCACCTTTTTGTTCTTACCACATTTTGATGTCATCTGTCTTCTACAGTAATACTGAATGATGACATGGAGTCTTTTTGTCAGTGGGGTACAAGGTGTATGTACAGATAGGTTTCTCTGGGTTGAATCACAAGGTTACACATAAATTTAAAGTTTGCCTTCGACTGTGTAGCAAGCTTAACATAACCCACAGACTGTGCTTTTCTGGACCAAAAAGAATTGTTTTTCTCTTTCCTACTTCCAACTGATACCTAAAGGAATATTAATTCTTAACATTGCATACCTTAGATGGGCATCTTAAGGTCTCCTGGTCACCCCACTGCTTTGTCTTGGATCCAAATGGTTCCAACTACAAAGATCATTATTTCAATTATTATCTCTGACTTCCAAATGTCATAAATTAGAACGCATAGTTTTAAGTGAAGAATTAAATGAGATAATGCAAGTCTTTTTGTCAAGTGTCAGCCTTCATCCATCTCCAAACAGGGTTAATTTTGTGGTCAAACAAAAAAATACTACCACCAACCTGCAGTGGCTTTGTATACAACCTTATCCAATGGTACTTTCCTTATACATGTAAATTAAATTTAGTTATTTTGCTCCAGGTTTCTTAATTATCTACCTTTTCATTAATTTCTGGCTTTCTTCACAACAGTTACTATACTCAACCTTTTTTTAATAATTGTAATCATTACTTTGCATACCCCACACTCAAATAAATTGACTTTCAAGGCCTGGAAAAGAAATTTCCTGCAACTTTGCAGGTCAGAGTTCAGTTCTAGGGCCTATAAAACCCTCCCTTTACCTAGGATTTAGAGGATCTTCAACAATAATTCACCCACATTAAACAAAGAGTATATCATCAATTTATAATAACCAACCTACCATATTGTTCCACAAAGCTAGTGCTGCTGCAGCATGACCTTGCACAGAGAAGTGCAAGCAGTCCACACCGAAAAAGGATTTCACTAAATCACCATCCTGTGAAAAAAATGCAGCTCCATACTGTATTCCTGAGTTGTTTACAATGTACATACTGGCAGGGTTGTAACTAAGAAATAAGGGAGCAGGCTGAAATTTTAAGAGAGGTGGCTCAAACTTGGCTAGTATTCCATTCTATATCAAACCACTGTAATCTCTGCCTAATCTCTGAAATGTCTGTTGTGCTTTACTAACTAAAGGGATCACCAGCTAAAAGTCCAGCCAGTGATTGCTACTATTTCATGCAATGAATTTTGTCAGCATCCCCTGCTTAATGACAACCCTCTACTGACATTACTAATGGGAAAAACTCTTGAAAAAAATTACACCACAACTGAAGAGTTGCTAAAGATATGTACTGCACTTTCTGGGATGAAAACCTTGATCTCTAAATAGCACAAAGCAATCACCTGATTTCTTGGCAGCACCTGGAGGGCAGGTTGAATAACCACTGCAAAGTTATCCTTTGTGTCATATATTCCACTATTCACCAGTTCCTCCAATAATTTCTTTACAGGGACAGATAGAAAAAATATTACATGTTTGTCAAAGCTTTAAAACAATTTGATGAGAAGAAAAGGATTACTTTAAGCTCATAATCAAGCAATCCTAACTTCAAAAGATCAGTGCAAACATTTATTGTAATGCATCATAAATGATTCTTATACCAAGTTCATTTGCACTGTAATTCTTCTAAGTTCAAAATATTCTCTTTATTTTACCAGTAATTATTTTATTTTTCCTGACAGTATATGTATATGATCAGCAAGCTGAGAAAATTTCATTTTTAAGTAGCATGTTTGTAAGTCAGGGTTACTAGGAGAGGTCACGCACTTAGACGTAACGGAATTTTATATATGGCAGTTCTTTGCCTAATTGTGTAAAATGTTCTTCCTTGACAGGGACTAACAAAATCATGCAGATAGCTGGTAGCTACAGCTGACATTCTTAAAAACTCCCTCTTATCTATTATTCCTTTGGCCTGTAAGAGCCACTGAATCACACATTAAGGCCACAAGAATAAAGGAAATGATCAGCAACTGAAGAAAAGCTTGAATTCTCCCTGTGAGCACCTTAGGAAATGCAGAGAGAACAGTATGGAGAATATTCATACTGATGTTAGCATGTAAAGGATTAATCCAACTGAGAACATATTATTTGCCATTATAATACCTACAAACTGTAATTATTATATTTAATCGCTCTTTAAAATGAAGCTGAGAGTTGGTTAAAAATAAGTTTCAACAAGTTTGCTTCAACCTTATACTGTTTGACAGCCGTGGTAATTTTAGCTCTTTCTGTGGCAACCTTTCTCAAACAAGGACAAGAGCTCCTGAAAAGAAAATAAATATTTCTGAGTCATAGCTTTATAGCTTGTAATCATTTAAAATTCAATTTCTGCATAAAACTGATCTAAAAAGGAATAAGTTGTTACTGAAACATGTATGGAGGAATTACAGTTTGCCCATTGCCCTCTACTCTGTGTACTCCCCCACCCCTCCCCTCTACTCTGTGTAC